AGGTCTCTGGGGCTACCGGGGCGTCCCCCCTCCCAGGGGCAAGGAGGCCCTCAGGTCTGAGCACCCTCCTGTTCGTGACTTAGAATCAGACCCTGGGAACAGGTCAGTGGAAGATCCGAGGGATTCAGAAGGGGCCAGGCAGATTGAATGTTGGAACGAGCAGTGCTGAGCGTTAGGATAATGTCATAATCAAGGGTGACAATGTTATAATGTTAGGATGTTAAAGCGACTCGATGTTAGAATGTGCGGATGTTATAATAATGAATGGAGCTGTATCCTAAGAACTTCAGCCTTGAAAAGGCTGTTAAAGAAGATCTGATCTCTTGCTGAATTTCTAGACATGCACAGCCAAGAATAAAAACGTAACATAACTTTCCTGGGGATTAGGGATAGTGGTTTTAGACAGAATTTGAGAGCCGACCTGGCATCATTTTTATATTATGACATGCATTTGAGAACAAAATACAAATTTTGAATACATTTTTAAGTTAAACAAGAGTTGGATCATTTAAATGAGTGTTGGGGTGTGGTGGGCTGTTTAGGGCTATTGGCTGTACCCTGGGTCGTGTTCAGAGCAGAGTGTAGGGGTGCTTGGTAACCCTGCTCCCTGTACACAGCATCAGTGAGTGCTGACTTGAAATAAAGCTACTTGTGTTCATGCTCTACTCAGCCTACTGGCTGTTGACATGGGGCCTAGGCCATATCGTATATGTTTATATCTTTCTACTGAAAAAAAAAAAAAGAGTTGGAAAAAGAGTCATTTGGTCTACCTAGAATAGTTGAGTAGAGCAAATTTTCAGCTCCTAGCTCTGCCATTTCCCAGCTGTGTGACCTTGGGCAGAGAACATAGCCTCTTCCCCTAACTGATTTGGCTCAGTGGATAGAGCATCAGCCTGTGGATTGAAGGGTCCCGGGTTTGATTCCGGTCAAGGGCATGTGCCTGGGTTGTGGGCTCGATCCCCAGTCGTGTGTGTGTGTGTGTGTGTGTGTGTGTGTGTGTGTGTATACAGGAAACAGCCAATCAATGATTCTCTCTCATCATTGGTGTTTCTATCCCTTCCTCTCTGACAATCAATAAAAATGTATTAAGAGAAAGAACATAGCCTCTCTATGACTCCGCCTTCTTTTTTTGGTAAATGGAATCAATAGTGACTGCCTAATATTGTTGGGAGAATTCAATGAGATAAAGAACCTTACACAGAGCCTGTAGCAGAGAACAAGTGCTTAATAAATATTCTATTTGTAATAATGTATTGTATAATAATAATCCCTCTCCTGCTTCCCCTCAGCTCATACCACCCCCACCCTGGATGCTCCTTCATTAATCTTTCATTTCCCTGGTCCCTGTTTCAGGCATAGAGACCTGACTCACCCCCATAAGTGTCTAAGGGACAGACGCTTTGGAGGTTGGGCTTTTCTTGAACTAAGAGGATTTAAAAATATATATTTAAAAGACCTTTATTTAGCCGGGAGCCAGAGCATGAGAGGGGAAGGCTCGCACCTGCCGAATGCTCCGGAAGTTACTTCTCACAGCCTCCTTTCCGAAGTATCATCGCTTCCATTTTGCACATGCGAAAACAGAGCTCCAGAAACCAATTCATGTGTCCAACATCAGACAGCAGGAAAGAGAAGGCAATGACCTTCCGACACTTCAGATGCTTGATCCTAAAACCATTCTCTTTCCACTAGGACATCCCGTCCTGCTTTCTGAGCTGGAGTATGGCCCAGGCTTCGCTTGGCCCTGGGGTCCAGAGGCGAATAAGAGGGTGAGGAGTAGGGCGGGATGGGGTCGGAGGTGAGGGTGAGGTCCAAGTTCACTGAGTCCCATGAAGTACTTTCCCAACAGACAGCTGGAAGCCATGGCAATGGGTCTTTGAGTGATGGGTCTTGAATCATTTTAATGATTTCTTGCTTTGGTCTAACATTTGTGGTTACTTCCTCTGTGACATGCTGAGTGGGTCCCTTAGGGAGGGAGGTTCTCCTCTCCGGGCAGTGGGGGATGGGACCGAGTTGAAGCGAGTGCAAGTGCTTGGAAAACAAAAGAGAACACGCGGAGCAAATGCTCTAACCAGGGCATCTTATCCTTAAGTTTCTTCCCAGACTCCTTGTGTATGTGTGTGTGTGTTATTCTTAGACACATTGGGATAATAATGGCTAATGACAATATGTAATTGCCTTTTACTTCTCAAAGAGATCGTGGACAGCCATCCTGCAATGGGCCAGGCTCGGGGAGCCAGGATGCACTGAGGGAGAGCCAGGGGACCCTCCAGGAGGGAAAGGCAACCACTCAACAGACAGGGACCAAGGCCGGGGGGTTGGGAGCGGTGAAGCCCGTCCAGCAAATGATGGGTCAGGACAGGAGGCTCAGAACCAAGACCATGAACAGGAGGCTGAGAGGTTGAAAGTCTGCTTTCAGGTGACTTGGATGCAGGTGTAATGACCCACAGGGCCACCCAAAGCACAGACCGAAGTGATGATGGGAAAAGGCGAATCAGACTGGGAATGACCTTCATCAGAGTCACCCAGCATGGCCAGTGACCAGAGAGCAAGTCCAGGGAACCAAGGCCCTGTCCACTCCCTTCCAACCCCGAAGTTTTTATCCCGCCCCCAGGGCTGGAGCAAGCCACAGGCGGCGGCTGCTCATCCTTTGGTCTCCAGCCATAAAGAGACAACAGAATGGGAAAATAATTAAAAAATAAGAGAGGAGGCGGAGGGGGGAGAGCTGGGGGCGGAGGACTCGATTTCCAGGGAAGAGAGGGAAGGAGGGTTGGAGAGGCTGGCATGGAGATAACCAACAGATGCGATTCTTCAGATAAGCGTAGCAATTTAGATAAATCTCAGGCTTTGGAGCTGGTCGCCTGCGTCCCCTCTCCTCCGTCTGCCTTTTTTCAATTTTTATCTCTGAGCCAAGGGAGGGAGCTGGGGAGGGTCGGGAACTCTGAGGGACGAGGAGACGGGAGGCGGGGAGGGCAGCGAGGGGGGCTGACTCCATCTTCGGGGACTTTGGTTTTTCTTTTTAATGTGTTTTTCCCAGAAGGTGGGAAAATGCCAGCACACACTCGGAGACCTCGAAGGCGGCCTATGTTTTTTAAAAAGCGGCAGACAAAAATCAAAATATTTGAAAATGTATTTCATGGTAATTATGTCATATTTCATGGGCTGGTGCCACTACTGAAAGAGAGGCTGAATGCCTTAATTTGTATAGAAATTGTAATCATTTGTTCATTTCAAGGTGAAAATTGCATTTTTTAATTTAAATTGTATCCTGCATGATAGTCTATTATCTAGTAAAATTGTCTCCATGTCTGAATGCCTTATATGCAGCTGCAATGCTTGTTACAAATCCACTTATATTCATAAAAGCAGGTGGACATCTCAGGAAATGGAAGCCGTGGTGTGTGTGCCCGTGCCGATGTGTATGGGTGCATGTGGGGGGGCGGTGGCTCCCCGGCCCCTCTCCCACTTCTGCCTCCTCGTCCCCCCATCACCCCCTCCCACCTCTGATTCTCATGTCAGCACGCCCAGACCTGCTTAACAAATGATAATTAGTTGGAACAAATGAGGAGTCTGGGCCATGTGAGAGCAGAAGCCCTGGGCCGCATCTCCGCCTTGCTAGGGCCCCTGGGCAGGTTGCAGATCCCCACTCTGAGCCTCAGTTTCCCCCACCTGTAAAGTCATCTTCCAAGTGAGGGTTCGGTGGTCACGTGGCAGCGTGGCCTCCCCGGAGCCTGACTATCTGACCCTGAATCCTGGTTTTGCCACCAGCGAGCTGTGTGATCTTCCATAAATTCCCTAGCTTCTCTGGGACACGGTGGGCCTCCTCTTTAGAGTGACGTAACACCAAAATCTACCGCATTTGGTTGTTGTCAGAAAACTATGGCCACCGAGCCAACTCCCTCCCCCGCCACCTGTCCACACAGCTTGCCAGGGAAGAGTGATTTTTTGACATTTTCTAAGTCTATTTTTTACATTTTTAAAATTTATTTTTTTCTGGTTAAAAAATAAATCAAAAGAAGAACAATATATTGTGGCATGATATTCCAATGTAAGTGTCCATAACTAAAGTTTTGCTGGAACACAGACACGCACACGTGAGTACATGTGGTGCTGGGTTCTACACCAGAGGTGAGTGGCTGGGACGGAGCCCGCATGGCCCACAAAGCCAGAAGTATCCATCATCTGGCCTTTCATGGGAAAAGCTTGCCAACCCCTCACACAGCATAAGTCAAGTGCTTAGCCCATTGTCTGGCGTGTCATAAGCATCAGTTCTTGTTAGCTGGGTGGGAGATTGAAGGAAGTTTGGGAGTCAGGAAAAAAAAATCAACCAGTATTTACTTAACAGCTATCTTTTTAAAATATATATATTTTATTGATTTTTTTTTTTTTTACAGAGAGGAAAGGAGAGGGAAAGAGAGTTAGAAAAACTCTCTCATGGTTATCCATGAAAGAGAAACATCGATCAGCTGCCTCCTGCAGACCCCCCACTGGGGATTTGCCCACAACCAAGTACCCTTGACTGGAATTGAACCGGGACCCTTCAGACTGTAGACCAACACTCTGACCACTGAGCCAAACTGGTTAGGGCCAACAGTTGTCATTTGTCCAGCTTATACATGATACAGAGATTTAGAATTTCTCTTTGGGGCAAAAAAGCAGAATTAGGGACCTTGTTTTCCCCAGAGGAACTTTTATCGAGAGTTTTCTTGAAAATTCGATAACACTGTTTTGACCCAGGGAGGTCAGAAGGGGCCCCGGACCAGAAGTGCGATGCTCTTGTCCACCCACCTGCTCTGTAAATGGGTCTCTCCCAGCAAAAAGTACAACTGGGTGCGCTCCATGCCACGTGGACAGGGCAATTTCTTCTCCTTTCACTGGGGTAGATTCCATGGTCATTACTGCCCATCTTTTAGCCCAGCTCAAAATTCATTCATTCACTCACTAATCATTCATTCATCCCTCCCACCATTTCCAAGCATCCTGGGTTCTCTCTCTCTTTTTTCTAGAGGTGCTTACGCAGTCCTCCACTACCACAGTACACAGTCGAGTTTCCCATGTTTGGGGAAATCGCAGGGGTCAGCACATCCGGAGTGCAATGGATTAGCCTCGCCCTGGCAAAGCCACCCTGGTAATCATGGCCTCTCCCCTGCCAGATTAGTGTCCTCTGAGCTCTCTCTTCATCCCAGCCTTTCTTTGGTGAAGGAGAAGGCGAACCTGTGCTGGAACGAAGCCTGAGTGTCCTCTGGTGAGTGACTTCTCGGAGCCTCCCTTCCCCCACCAGAAGATGGAGCTCACAGTTCCCCTCTCCCTCTCAGGATCGCGCAGGACTCAGAGCTGGTGTGTGGCAAATGCCCCATCAACTGCAGAGAGGCCTGATGGTTATCTAAGGATCTACCTTTCCCAGGAGTCGGGTGAGGGAGGACTTGCCCGGAGGAGGTCACATGGCTAAAACTGACCTAGTTGAGTTCAACACCAATGCTTGGTGTTTGTGTCCAACTCCCCCTAACCCCTGTGTTGAAACCCTAAGCCCCCAATGCGGTGGTATTTGGAGGTGGGGTCTTTGGCAGGTAGTTACAGGCAGATAAGTCCATGACCAAACCAACCAATGAACGGATGGATGGGTGGGAAGGATCTGGGATGGGAATTCAGAGACCTGGCCTCTAGTGATGGTGATCTGGAACTTAGGCCCATCCCCCTTGTCCTCTCTGGGCCTTTGTTCTCAATGTTTGTTGGGATAAATTCTCCCATAAAGCAGGCATGGATACATCCATTTTATAGATGAAGAAAAAGAGTCTTGGAGGGGCCAAGCCCCCTGCCCAGGCCACCCATTAGTAAGGGAGAAGGCAAGGGTTTGAACACGGGTCCAATTCCCACACACTTCCCTACGCTTCCACTCTGAATGGACTTCCCAACCCAGATCGCTGACCTATCCTCAGGTTGGGCCAGTGGCACATTGAGCTGCTGTCAGAATCCCCACTTGGGGCCCCTCATTCTGCAGGACCCTCCATGCCCCAGGACCTGGCCACTCCTAATCACAGTGCACCTGCCTGAAATGGGCATACGGCCACATCCAGCTGCCTTCTGGAAAGTACCAGATCTGCTGCTATCGGGAAAGATGGGAAAGTTCCACTAGTTTAATGAGTCCAGATTCAGTGTATAATGCTCATAAGCATTCCTACAAGGGCCTATGGTCACAGAAGACTGTGAAACATGGAGCCAAAGAAACTTAAATAGATTTCTTTATTCTGTGATCTTTTTAGTCTTCCCAGCTCTCTTGGAGGTTGGTAGCATCATGATGCCAGCTTTACAGGTGATGAGAAAACCGAGTCCTCAGACAAGTGTAGACCATCTGCCCACGGTTAGCCAGTGGTGGCACTGGTTTTGGAACGTAAGCATCTATTCTCTTAAAACACATACAAATCATGTGTCTAAAAAACCTGGCGCAGAGGAAATGCTCAGCCTTTCAGCAGAGGCAGCGACAGGGCTGGCTTCAAGCCTGGCTTCACAAAGGAGGGCTCTGCAGGCTCCGAAGGGTGTGGCCCAGCCCATGGTCTCAGGGAATCCAGCAGCCCCTACCCCAACTCTTGCCTAAGCCCTTCTGCCCGAGAATGCTCCTACTCATGTCAATTTTATCCAAAGTTGCTCCAGATATCCCACACACATCATGCTGATCCCCACCCTGGCTTTCCACTCTCAAGAAGCCTGCTCTCCATAGACACAACTGAGCTGCCCGGCTTCACAGGCATCAGGGAGGTAACTGTTTATTGGTCAGCAGTGTAGCCCTGGAAGTGAAAGAGGTAGAACCAGGCAGAGGATTGTTTTGTGTTTTTGCTAAATTTCCTGAATAATGGGTCCCAATTCTTTTAAAAAATATATTTTTATTGATTTCAGAGAAGAAGGGAGAGGGGGAGAGAGATAGAAACATCAATGATGAGAGAAATCATTGATTGACTCCTTCCTGCACACCCCCTACTGGGGATCGAGCCCGCAACCTGGCATGTGTCCTGACAGAGAATCGAACAGTGACCTCCTGGTTCATGGATCGATGCTCAACTACTGGGACTGGCTGGACAATGGGCCCAAATTCTTAACTCCCCTGTCATAGACATACATACCCTCTCCATGCCTTGAGATGGGTGTGATAGACTGGCCCATCTTTTGACTTGGGGCTTATCATTAGACTTGCCTTGGTCAATGAGATGACAGTGATTCTGACCAGAGAAGCAGCTGGAAATGGGGCTTGGAATGGGACCCCACAATGCCTTTAGAATGCTGGTGGGTTTTAGTCATGACCCAGTAGCTACACTCTTCATGGGCCCCCAGAACAAATATTGTCAGACCTACAGCTTAAGACTGAGCTGCCAATATGTATTAGTTTTCTGTTGCTGCATAACCAATTGCCATTAACTTAGCAGCTTACAACAACCCATTCATCATCTCAGTTTCTGCAGGTCAGAAGTCTAAGCATAGCACAGCAGGGTCCTCTGCTCAGGGCTCATCAGACTGAAGCCAAGGTCTTCACTGAGATCTCATCTGAAAGCTTGACTGGGGAAGAGTCTGTTTTCAAGCCCATGCAGGATGCTGGCAGAAATCAGGTTTTTGTGTAGGACTAAGTCCCTGCTTTCTTGCTGGCTGTTGGGCAAGGGTGACTCTCTGCTTCTTAGAAGGTGTCTTCACACCCTAGTGATGGCCCTCTTACAACAAAGCAAGCAGCTTACTTTTTTATAGGCGGCAGGAGACTTTCACTCCAGGCTGCTGTGATGGTGTCTCATGTAACGTGATACAATCACGACCAGGACTATCCCATCACCTTTGCGAGATAGTGTAACCATGTTCAGGTAGTGACCATCCCACCGTATTCACAGATCCCATCTCCACTCAAGGGCAGTGGACTATATCAGGAGTATGAAACAGGGGATGAAGATCTCGGTTGGACGTCACAGAGTTCTCCCTGCTACCACACCCAAAAGTATATTAGCCTAAACCATAGCCAATCTACAAACTTGGGAAAGTGAGAATGAATGCTTATTATAGGCCACTGAGATTTGGGGTTATTTTTCTTACGCAGCATTGCTCTGGTGTTGGCTGTCTGATACACTTTAAGAAGCATTGTCTTCCTTGTTCACATAGTGTCCTAGCTCCCTGGTGGGGAGGAAGCTTCCTATGAAGGACAGGGCACTGGGACCAGTCAGGTCTGGGTTTGACTCTACTCATCCTAGTGGGGGGCCCTTGAGCCAGTTCCTTTATGTCTCTGGGTCCATGTCCTCAGCGGTGTAGTGGGAACCACAATGCCTATCTCTCCTGGCTGTTGGAAAGATTAACTAAAATAATGGATGAGGACCACGTGGAATATAGCAGGCACCATACATGTTAGTGTCTTTTCTCTGTGACATTCGTGTTTCTAGTCAACATGCCCACGTCTTCAGAGAATGAATGTGGTATGAGTTCTGGGGGTGGCCCCTGCCAGTTCCCATGGGTTGCCTGGCTGGTCACTCATTACCAGATGGGAGGGTGACCCGCAGGGTGGTCTGACCTTGGATGGGCTTCCTGCTTGAGCCATGTTGTGGAAGGCAGCCCTGCTGGTTCTATGGGGCAGAGGCCGTGGGCATCCGCTCTCAGACAAGACCCCTGCTCCCACACTCCAGAACTTCAATTTTAAACTGTGACAGCGGTTGACCTGTTTACAGAGCGCAGTCTCTCCCACTAACCAGCTGTGTGAGCCAGGGGAGGTAACTTTAACCTCTGACTGTACTTTGCAGGTAAGACTCCCACCCCACAGGGTCATTATGCTGATGATCTGACGAAAGGCATATCCCTGCCCCATGCATGACAGGAGCTCTGAGGTGTTTCTCTCTCCTCAGAGCGGAGACTACCCTGCCCTGCCTCCCAGGCCCTTCACAGAGAGGAGCACAGGGCAGGTGCTAAGGATATTTTTGGTGCTAAATTCACACCTTTAGTCTCATTTGATTCTCATGAGAGGCTCTGCCTAGGAGGGTGTGGAGGCCCTAAAGGTGGTCCTCCCCAGTCCCACCTCCCAACCCTCAGGCACAGGATGGATGACACTTCCCTTCTCTTTTCAAGTTCAATGTGACCCCATGACATGCTTTGGCCAAGGAAGGGTGAGCAGAGGTGTCCCTGGTCACTCGGGAAAGAAGCTTCAGGGGTCAGTGCTGACTCACCGCCTCTCCCTTTCTTTCTGATACCAGCGGCCAGCAATGCTCGAGATGGTGCCTGTTCTCTGTTGTCCGACAGTAATGAGTAGAGAATGTGAACGAGGAAAGATCAGCCTTTGGTGCTGTAAGCCACGGAGCTTTGAGGGAGCTGCTCACTGCACTCTAGCCTGATGCACTGGACAGACTTTGCTTCCATTTGAAGGAGGAGGGGAATGGCTTGCCTAATGTCACACAGCGGGTACTGGGATCATGGGCTGGGCTTTGCCAGATGGGGCATGTTTGATTCTGTCCAGGGAGAGAGCAGAGGTGATGGGAGCCCTGACATCCTCTCCCTGGTGCCTCGGGGAAATGAGTCCCTGCGACAGCTGTTTACATCATCAGGAGCAGGAAAACAATTCTCTTTCAGAATAAGTGACTGGAAGCTTAGGTAGTGGAGGGCTTGATTTTGTACTGTCAAAGGAATCAGATGTTCTAGACTCAACTCGGCAACAGATGGGGTTATACTCAGAAGCCCGGTCTGTCTGTCTGTGTGTCCCTCCTCACCTCCGAGGCTCCACTTATCTCCTCTCTCAGGAGTCTCTCCCCTCCACTAGTAAATCTTGTTCAGAGAAAGGCTGTGAAACTCACCCACCATAAGGTGTGCACTCTGGCCTGATGCAGTGGACAGACTTTACTTCCTTTTGAAGGATGAGGGGAGTGGCCAGGAACAGACTGCTATGTTACACAGTATTGTTATGACAATAGCTGACTGATACACTTGTCTATCCAGTATCCATTCTTTTCTATTCCTTTAGAGGTAAACTGATTTCATTCTGGGCAGTAGTGTGTGCCTGGGCAGAAGACTGTACACTGAGTGGCCAGATTATTATGATTTCTGAATGCATAATAATCTGGCCACTCAGTGTATATATATTAAAGGTCTGGTGCATGAATTTGTGCATGGGTGGGATCCGGCCATCCTGGCCAAGGGGAGGGGACATGGGTGATTGTCTGGTCTGCTTGCTGGTTGAACTCCTAGTTGAGGGGACAATTTGCATATTAGCCTTTTATAATTTAGAATATACACTAAGTGGCCAGATTAGTATGTGCTTAGAGATCATAATAATCTAGCCTCTCAGTGTATTTCTCAGCTTTCCATGGGGTGTGAACAAAGGTTTTTGAGTGAGACTCCAAGCAAAGCTCCTAAGAGGGGGTCAGAGAGCTTGCCAGGGAGCCACCAAAGGTCAGGGAGCTCCTTGGTATCGTACACTCAGCATCCGATATGTTGATTGCCTTCCCAGCAATGGTGTCAGACACCTCCGCACCATCCAGGCACTCTCTGCACTGCTTCAAGACCAGCCTTTGGCTCAGTGTATTGTCATGGTAACCTAGAAGATGCTTAGAGATCATCTAGCCTGCTTTTAAAAAACACACAGAATTAGGGTCTGAGGTGGGAGAAGACTGTCTCAGGATCCATAGCAAGTCCTATGCAGAGCTACAAGAAGAACTTGATTAGTTCTTCACGCTCCCTCATATCTTCCTTCCTGATTGAGTGGTGACTGCCTGGTGGGGGTGGGAGGAGGGGTAACAGACTTGGGGGGAATGTGGCTGGGAGCCCTGCTTCTGACAGCAGCTGCCTGGAACTCATAGGGGCTGGAACAGAGCTCACCACACTGTAGGGACTCTGTCGGGAGGCAGATGCTGGTGCAGCCCTCAATTGGTCTCAGACTCTGGGTCCTGCCCTGAAGAACTAGGCTGGGTTGAACGGACCAGGTTCACAGGAACACCTCATGAAGCCTTCCTGTATAATTTCCCCAACCACTGCTCTACCACGCCCCTTCCTGTTCCGCTCATCCAGGTAAACCAGCATCCTGGAAGGACCTGGGGACCCTGGTTTAGAGTCAGGGAAGCATGGATGAGTAGATACGGCTGATCCTGGACCAGATGCTCTTTACTGAGCCACACACCTGTCCTCTAACTGGTCCGAATGTTGTTGCTAAGGGCTCAGTGCCTCATCTTCCTCTGGAGAACTGGCCTCAGCCATTAGGAGCCTCTGTAACCAGAGATAATGAGGTGCCTAATTAAGTCTTTTACCCACCCACCCACACCCCCAGGACAGCCAACCGCCAGTGAATGACTGATACTGGGGAACAAAAGGCCAGTCGCTGTCTCATGGTGAGACTAGCTCTGTGCTATGGTATTAGCATGAAGCAAGATTCCAGTTAACCTCCCTCTTTGCTCATTCCCTCCCCTACCCTCTCTTTCATCCTTCACTTTCTTATGGATTTCTCTTGAGGGCTCTCCCTCCATAAGTCACCTGCCCAGGAACCCTCACATCAGCCTCCGTTTCTAGGTTAAGATGTAAGCTTCTGAGCTCTCACCCTCACATTGTGTCCTAGGAGACACCAAGAAGGTTCTAAGCTTAGCAGCAGGAGGAGTTTGTCATGGTGAAGAGAACTGAGGCATTCCCAGAGAGGTGCTTAGCAACAGGATCCATTGATCCAATATTGACTAGGTATCCGCTGTGTATGCAGCAGCTGCTTGACATTGGGGGGCCCAGTGAGGTGTGAAAGAAGTGTAGCTCCTAGCCTGACCCTCTAAATTAGGTCAAAGCACTTGGGTCTCTTTTAGGGCAGTCACATAACAGCGACCAAGTGAGTACAAGGAACCTTGCAAATGCTTTTAATTTCTTTTAATGTATAACAGTTACGCCTGAGTTACAGAGGAAGCGCTTACAAGCAGGTAGTTAAAGCAAAATGCCAGTTTCTCTTTCTAGTCTACTACTCCATATAGCTGAATAAATTATGGTGTGATTATATTTAAGCACACACCCTCGCGTCCACATGCACACCCCACTCACACTCCCACGCACACGAGCTCACTTCCACGTGGAGGAAAATGGCTGAGTCAAACATGGATGCAACCAAGTTGCGGTTACTAGGAAGGAGGAACGGTCAGAGCGCCATGGAGATGGCTCCCAAGTAGGGGCGTGGCCACCTTAGCATTGGCAGGGAATGCATTCAATGCATCATCTCTGAGCATTTCACGATGGCGGCTGGAGACCCCCCATTTGGTCTTGGTTTGGTGCCTCTGCAGGAGGGGAGGAGAGAAGACCCACCAACCTCAAAAGGCATCCACCAGTGAAGGGTGCCTTTGGGAGTCTGAGGGGAACATCCATCTGAGAGAGGCCCCGCAGGAAGTCTCTTTGGGGCAATCATGGAGTTTTGCCAAGTTCCGCCGTCCAAAGCATAGAACGCTCCATCAGCTCCATGGACCACATTGTACTTGAGAGGAGAGGCCAAAGTCTGGGACCTTCCTGTTCTCAAGTCACCGCCAGACTGGAAATCTGATCTGGGTTTTCTTCTGGGCAAACCTCTCTTCATTCTTCTCTTTTCTCTCACCCCCCCCCCCCCGCTCCCCCCTGGCCCCCTCCCCCCATGTTCCTCTGGCAAAAGAATGGCAAAGGTAAATCAAATAAAATATACGGGTATAAAAGCATAGCTTGGTTCTTACACATTGGCTTTTTTTTCTTTTTCTTTTTCTTCATAGCAAGAAATACTGAACAGGAAAAACAAAGCAATAAAAATGAAAGAACCCGAGAGAGCCTGGAATGTATACTTTGAAACACACAATATGCAGATATATCCCTACAGATGGTCCTTGGCACTAGCACGACACACACTGTGGGGGTTTCTTTCCCGGTGGAGTATATATATTTATAGATATAAAAGTCAACTTCCTATAAACGAACAGCACATCACCACGTTTCCAACTAATGTACAATTGAGCTCAGGAGAGAGGCCGCCCGTAGGCAGGACCAACAGCGACTTGTGAGAAGCTGGAGGAAACATCTCTGATTTTGCTACAGACAGACAATTCGCAGGGATGGATGGGGGTCGCTCCTGGGCTGGCCTAGCCACTGGGATTCAGGTTGTGGTCAACCCTCGCCAGTTTGAGGCCTTGTCCCTCTCATCCCGCACCACCTCTCTGGTGAAGTTGTGAGCTGCCAACCCAAGACTGAATTTTATACACCGAGTTGGCTGAGCAAAGTCATGAGTGAGGTTTTAGGGAAAACTTGTCTGGGCCAAGGTCTCTTTCTGAGGGGAGTGGGCACCTGGGGGAATAAGTCCCATTTTCTATGCCAAGATGGTGGCTTGGGAGAACTCCAGGGAAGTTTTACATAACAAGAAATCATTTGGTTTATTCCCATTTCATCACAGGGGGCAGGATTGGTCCCAGCATTGGAATGTCACCTCCTGGGGGCGGGGCTAAGCAGTTTTGGGGTCACCTGCCTGGCATCACTGCGCCTGGGTGACAAAGGGCATAAAGAGGCTCAGGTGATTCCTGAGCCAGGTCTATAGGAGGAAGCTTGGACCATTCAAGGAATGTGGATGAAGATCATGGTCAAAGAAAGCTACTCCCGGCTGGGAGAGCTACAGAAGCATGGACTGGGTCACCAAGAAACAGCAGAATCCTTTTGTCCAGAGCTTAACAAGCCCAAAATCTCCTACAGAGGATGCTCCAGTTGAAACCTGGGCTGAACTTGATGGGCCACACAAGTCTGGGTGTCCGCTGCTACTGAAGAGTCTGTTTGGCCCTGGCTACTAGTAGGTTCCTCCAAACCCAAGACACAAGCCACCCTGGCCTGGTCCAGGACAGGCGTCATATTACAGTGTCTGAAGCTGAGAAACAGGTGAGCATCTTTCACGGAGATGAAGTGTCCCAGCTCCCCCGAGGGAGGAACTCAGCTCAACTCCCAGCACAGTAGTAGCCCATCCCTTTCGGAATGTCCTGTGGGCTGAGGGCAAGACATGGGTTGAGCCAAGAGGTGGCCTTGTGTGCCCCAAGGGGCACAAGCAATTTGGTCCCGTCTTTGTGGATTCAGCGCTGTGCCTCCCGTCCCGTCACAGAGCCTTTTACCCAGCAGCACCCGAGAAAGGTGATCCAAGCGTAGATTACGATGCTGCTGATGGCGAAGATGAATATACATTTGATAAATAGGTGAAGGTGGTGAAAGTTCCAAGGGAGGTGTAGTCGGGGGCTTAACCCATTCTCCCAGGTCTCAACTCTAAAGAGAAGGAGCAGGAGGAAGCCACTCGTGGCTGAGCAAGGCGTCCCCCTGTCCGGGGGTGGCGGTTTGAAGACTGGCCACGTCTGTCCCTGCACAGCTGTGCTGGACCAGGAGACAGAGGCCTCTTGGCCGAGAGTGACTCCACACGGAAAGATGCCACTCTGGATGGGACAGGGTCATGTCCACTCCCCCCCACCCAAATGCCGTGGGGAGTCGGTGGCCTTGTCTGTGGGGCAAGCAGTCCCTGTGAGCCCAAGAACCCTGCTCCAGAGCCGCAGGGGAACCCCCTGTACCCCGCAGCCTAGAGGGACTCGCCAGGGATGGAGGCCCCACCCAGAAGGTGAGCAGGCAGGACGAGCCCGGGTCTGCAGAGGCTTCGTGGGAAATCAAAGCTACATGGCGCCAAGGCCTCTGGCAGCAAACGTTTGCTGCCCTGAAGCAGAGGCACCCTAGTTACCAGCCCCCTTCTGAGCCTGGCCTATGCTTCCTGCTCAAAGGTCCTCAGGACTGTATTCCCCCTGCCCTGCCCCATCTGATCCAGTGAATGGGAAAACTGAGGTTGTGTGGCTCCCCAGGCCCCACGGGGGGTGGGCACAGTGGCAACTTGGGCTTCAGTCTAAGAGCCGGCTGCTTCTGGCTGCCTCACTGGGTCCTTGTATCTTGGGCTGGTCCCTGCTGGCCCATGCCCACATGGCCACGCCCCTGGTGAAGTCTCTTCCTGGTTTTCCCAATCTCCCTGCTCGGGCTAGATTCCCCCTTACACACCCAATCGATCGAGGTGTGTGGGGAGGGACCTGAAGTCCTCGGACTTCCTGGGCAAGTCCCCTGGGCAAGCCCAGGGCTGGGTTCCCGCTCTGCTGGAGTCCCGTCATCCGGAGGAGGGCTGGGCTGGGGTTCTGACCCTGGGCCAGGGCCCCACCTGGAGGGACCTGCTCCCAGCACTTCCAGCTGAGAGCAGCCTGTGAGCTCCTCGGCCTCTGGCCGGGGCACCCACAAGACCTCACCCCAGACCCCACCCTCCTCTGGGTGCTCATGGTGCTCTCTGCGGGGGAGCTTCCATCTCGGTGCCTCAGATGGCACAGGGGCCGTGGCAGGACTTGACGGGAAAAGGTTGTGGGCCGACCAGGAACCTCCTGGGGACAAAGCAAAGGGGCAGACTCCAGAGTGGGGGTCACCCTAGGCCCCCACCACAGGGGCCCACAAGGCTGGCCGCACGCCTCCAGCGGGCTGGCTGTCACCGGGGAATGGGCTCCGTTCCTAGTCTCCGGGGACCCGAGGCGAGGAGGGGACTGAGGCCGGGAGGTTCAGGGTCAGGAAGGGGGAAGCTGGGCCTGGGGCTGGGGCAAGACGCCCCGGGGGCCCTAGTAGGCCTGGCCGGTCTCTACGGGCAGGAGTCCCAGCACAGCCGAGTGCTCCCCGAGCTTCATGCGGCGCTGAGTGGAGAGGCTCACGTTTTTGGCCAGGTAATCAACGGCAGCTGGAAGAAAGAAAAGAAACCCCTAGAAATTAATTTCCCCCTATTCTTTTATCTGTCCTATATCAATCCATCAAGCCATCCACCCTCATATATATCCATCCATTCATTTATCCATACATCAGTTTGTCCATCCAACCATCCAGCCAGCCAGCCAGCCATTACCCATCCATCCATCTCTTCATAAAGCTCTTTCTCCAACCTCCGCTCCACTCACTCAGCAAATATTTACTTAGCCCTGAATAAAAAACACAGCTCTCCCGTGGGCTCGGTAGGGAGACCCAGAGGATATGCACATTGCTGAGTGAAGAACCGGTCCCTCTTTCTGGTCATATCCCATCTAGGGGGAGTGTCCAGTGAGTGTCATGGAGCCAGGTAGTAAGGAGGGCAAGGCCCTTCTGCCTCCTTTGGCCCGGAGCCCAGCTCACGGATGAGACAAAGCAAGGCCACTTAAAACTCAAAGCAGTTTTTGCGGGTGAGCTGAGGGGTCCAGGCAGGGGAGGGGCCAGGGACCTGACATGCAGGAAGCCGAGACCTTCAGTCTTATCACTTCTGGTCACGCAGGGGAGAGGGGGGAGAATTTGAGGGTGTATACGTGTGTGTGTGTGTGTGTGTGTGTGTGTGTACAGTGGAAATAAGAAACTTGGTGAGGTAGCAATGGCATGAACATGAATGTCCACACGTGAGTAACACTTGCATATGCGCATACATATGCACACAGATGTAGGTGAGTTATGTGCACCTGCATGAGAAGAACAACAGTGGGGATGCTTATGTACAGGGGAGTTCCACCTGGCCCAGGTACATGTGTCGGAGTATGTGTGTGCACAGGTCTGGCCCTCTGAGTGGCTGGACCCTGTGCCCCTCGGCTTCCCGGCTCCAGGGCTGGCACTGAGCTGGGTCACCCTGAGGTCACTCAGCCTTCATGCTCCCAGCTGGCCGACAGAGGTGCTGGTGGCCGCCTGTCCTGCCTGGGTCTGCCCCTTGCTCTGAGTGGGCCTGGGACCATCTCCCATCTCTGGCCCCTGTATCTCTGGCCACACCATCTCTGCTGCTCAGCGCCCTCTTATCTGGGCTCCCGGTGCGCCTATGAGGAGGTCTAACTCAGAGCAGGATGGGAACAGGAGGAGGAGCTGACATTTACCAAGAGCTTGCTCCAGCTCTAAGCAGCCTATGGAGCATTACCATCCCCATGTTACCGAGGAAACTGAGGCCCTTCCCTGAAAGACCACATCGCTCAAACGTTGTGGAGTCAGGATTCAAACCCAGGCTGTCTACTGCAAGCTCCTAACTACCCCCCACCCCCCCCCCCCCCCCCCCCCCCCCCCCGCCCCGCCCCAACATCTCCCAGAGCCTCCTATAGGACAGCCAGGTCTGTGCACAGCAGTGGAGAGTGTATGAGGCACCCCCAGATCCTGCATGGGCCCCACTTTCCACTCCAGGAAATGTAAGGGACTATTCCAAGGGCGCGAGGCCAAGTCAGGTGACGTTTCCTGAGTCACCAAAGGCTCCGCCTCCGCCTCCGATTCCACATCCCCCCGACCTCTGACGCCAGCCTCTCTGGTTCTTCCGGAGGACCGGGCGGGAAAGTCTGGCTTTAACAACAGGGATGAGAACAACAGAGCCAGAGCCCTCACATGTGAGCACTTACTATGTGCCAGGCGGACATGATCTCACTAAATTCATGAGCTCCCTGCTTTAGGTGCAGCTGTCCCCGTTTTACAGAGGTGGAAACTGAGGCACAGAAAGATGGCTGACCCAGAATCACCCACAGCACGTGAGACGGCAGAGCCTGAATCTGTCCTGTTTGCACCTCTGGTCTCTGTTACTTCCTCTTTAGCTTCTCCCATGGTCTAGCTAGCACATAGTAGGAACTTTCCTAAGGCCCTGTCAAGGTGAGCAAGGGAACATCAAGAAAGCCAAACTTTACTGATGACCCAGCCAACTTCAAGGGCACCCGTAATACCGCACAGCCTGCCTCTCCCTGGGGTCCGGCCTGGGCCCGTGAGGGCAGGGCTGTAACATTTTTCATTACGGCTTCTGTCAGCGGCTCTCTCTGTCCCTCTGTCTCTCCGTGTCTCCCCTTCTTTGCCTGGTACCCACGCTCGGGCTCTAAACGTCTCAAATCAGATTAATTGGGAGTTGGCAGGAGACGCGGTGGTGATGCCAACCCGTAAACAAATCTCAGCCGTCAGCGTCTTGTCAGCCCGCGGCCCCAGAGGAGGACCCTTCCAGACACAAACTCTTATTAGACTTGTCAGATCTATTAAAATGCTCTCCACACTTCTGCGTTCTATCAGCCCCATCATTAGTCCGGCCCTGGCCTCTGGGAACACCGGGGCCGTATTAATCTGCCGTGTGCCCCGTCCCTGGCCCCTGCCCCCCTGCCCGACCCCCTCTAGGGACAGGAGGGAAAGACAGATGGACAGACAGCAGCCAGGGGCAGGGAAGGAAGGTGTGGGGAGGCACAAGGCCCAGGCAGAAGAGAGTACTCTGCTGTTTAAGAGTGTGGCCAGTCGAAACCAGTTTGGCTCAGTGGATAAAGAAAGCATTGGTCTTTGGACTGAAGGGTCCCAGGTTCGATTCAGGTCAAGGGCATGTACCTTGGTTGCGGGGCACATCCCCAGTAGGGGGTGTGCAGGAGGCAGCTGATCGATGTTTCTCTCTCATCGATGTTTCTAGCTCTCTATCACTCTCTCTTCCTCTTTGTAAAAAATCAATAAAATATATTTAAAAAAAAAAAAAGAGTGTGGCCATGTGCGTACACCATGCACACCGGAAGTCGAGGCTCTCCAGGGCGGGGCTATGGCGGGGTTGTGTACACACGGATTCGCGCTATGTGATCTCCTTAGGATCCCAGTGCCTGCTCTGTCCCGTGGGAATAACCACGCACACTACACAGGGTGGCCATGAAGAGGAAATGCCAGATCCATAGTAGATGCTCAATAAATGGTCATTTCTCCTTCACACACATTGTTGTATGAATCCCTCAAAGCCACGTATACACACATGTCAGTGAAAACTCCCATGGACCTGAACCTGTGTGCGTGTGCCTCTGAGCGAGCGAAGTCATGAACGTCAGTCCACACCCAGGTGGGTCTGGGTGTGAGCCGTTAGGTATCTTAGATCAAATTGGATTTGGTCAAAGAGAACTGGGTTTGAAGTCAGGGGACCCGGAGTCCCCCACTCACTTACTGTGTGACCTGGGGAAAGTTCGCGGCCTCTCTGAGCCTCAGCTGTGTGTCTGTGACAGGACGAATGGCATCTGCCTTGGGTGGGATGAGGCCCATGCCTTTCACCCAGTGGCTGGTTTACTGAGACTCAGGCACGCAACACAGGTGAACAGATGACAGGTTGGACCCGGGAACACACGGGCAGTCTGGGACATGCAACTTCCGACTGTGGAGTGTGGGAGCTCTGTCATAGGTGAATTTGGTTGCCCATGAACATGGGGCAGGTGGTCAGTGAGGACACAATATAACCCTAAGGGGTCCCAGGATGTCAGAGGGGAGGGAGATACTACCAGGGACAAACTTTGAAAAGGCTGAGTCTAATCCCCAGGCCCCCATTTCACAGATGGCAAAACTGAGGCTCAGAGAAGCAGGGTGCCTTGCCCATGCTAATGGTGCAAGAGAGGCAGACTTTCCCGCAGGCCCCTCCCAGCCCAACCTGGAGCCTCTGTGGGGTGGGGGGGTCTTGTGCTCCGATTCCCTCCCAGTTGGGCTGGAGAATGCTACTCAGGAGGAGCTCTGAGCTACCCCTGGAGGAGCCAGGGAGTAGGGGTGGAGCCAGAGGGGCCTGGGAGGACAAGAGAGTGAAGGGGGGGGGGGGGGGGGAAAAAGGAAGGAGGGGAAGAAGAAATTGCTCCAGCCGGTTTCCAGGAGCAGAGGGGGAACAAACACTCCTTTCTCGCCTCCTGGGCCCTTTCCCTTTTGATCCCCCCTCCCTTGTCGCCCCCTCCCAGTGCTGACTCTGGGGTTAATTTTATTTCCGCGTTGGGCAGGCGCCCCGGAGTCAGGCACGGGCTCTGGGTGTGACTAACGCCTGCCCCAGGCCCGGCTCTAAACTCTTTATCAAGAGCATGTGTCCTGCTCAGCTCCCTGGGCACAGGGGCTGGGGCAGGGGTCGCCCTTGGTTCCTCTGGAAACATCCCCATGCACATGTGTGCACCCTGCTCTCAAACATACACGCACACATGACACACACACACACACACACACACACACACGCTCCTCATGCACACACTCTCACATAGACACAGTGATACACACAGACAACATCATGTGTACAAGCCTGGATGCACAACTACACACAGGAGCACACAGAATTCCTATGCAGACACTCAAGTACACATGTGCCCATATTTATACCCTGCACACTTCATCTAGTACATGTCCCATAAATACTCCAATACACACACACTTGAGCATGTGTCTACACATGTGCATATAGTTACACATATTTGCGCACTAACACACATCTGCACACATATTTATACATGTCCACACAATAACATATGCACACATAGCCACAGCCACATGGACACACCTGAATGCACACTTAAACACATGGATATGTGTTACAGCCATGTGTGTTTACATGTCCAAACACTGTGCGCGTGTGCATTTGCATAAAAACACATACCATGTATGCACAGTATGCTCATTTAAATGCACACATATGTTAATAGTCATGTGCACATATACCCACATGTGCCACTTACATTCACACACACAGACACATACACATACTCACCTATGCACAAAGATGTGTGCACTAACACTCTTATGCTAGGATACTCACAAATACACACACAGACGCACACACCTGAATTGTAACACATCCAAAACATGTATTCACACTCATGCACATACTGGTGTGGACATATATCTTATCCAAACATGCACATCTAGTGGGGGCCGTGCACACAGCTGGGAGGTGGAGGCAGCACAGCTGGCCCTCATTTAGCCGTGGAGGCCAAGGCCATATGAGGAGGAGAGGGTTGGTGTGGGGACAGGAAGCAGAGGTCAGTGAGGCCAGGCCAGGGCTGTGGCAGGCCAGGGGGTGTGAGGATGCCCTTGGGCTGGGAGGTCTCACCCTCTCGCCACTCGCCCTTCTGATTAGTTTGACACCAGCAGGTGAGGCCTCTGCCGGGAGGTGGGGCAGGAAGGGCAGCCGGTGACCTCGGCTCCCGGTGCCCCCTTGGCCTGCCCTGCTGCTGCCCTGTCCGGAGGGTGGAGGCTGTGGCTGGGCCCGCCTCCTGCAGCTTTTGGTCTGAGGATCTGCCATCTTCCACCCCAGGCAAGGTGCCAAGGGGATGGCGACTGGGCTGGGCATGTGAGGCCAGCTCAGTGTTTGGGGAAACCGAGGCTGAGGATGGGGGTGGAGGGGAGAGCTCACAGGACAGCTGTCCCTGTGGCCAGCGGGCAAAAGGGGCAGATCCCCACGAGTTCACTGTTCCACCACAGTCACCAGCCACGCGGAGCCCCTGAAACGTGGCCAGCGCAGCCGAGGAACCAGAGTTTACATTTTGATTTAATTTTACCTAATTGAAATTTAAAAACCGGAATTCAATTTAGTTTAGCGGCCGGGAAACTTTGCAGTAGATTTGGAACAACTTGGGTGTGTCAGCCTACGACTTCCTCCGTTGTCAGCGCTGTGAAATTTCAATGCGGGCCCAGCGTGCCCCGTGAAGCTTCGTGTCTGAATGAACACAGGCTGGATCTCAAAGACACGGTATGGAGAAAAGGATGTAAACCAGCTCATTGACCATTTTGTATGGATTACATGTTGCAATGATCATCTTCTGGATGGAATGGGCAAAATAAAAATACGTTAGCAAAATCATGTGCTGCTCTCACATTTTACCATGTGGCTCCTTGGACATTTTAAATGACACCTGTGGCCTGTATGACACTATTTCTGTGGGACAGCTTTTCTCCAAGGCAGCAGCAGTAGTAGGGGCCCAGCTCAGCTGTTCTTCCTTTCTGGACCTCAGTTTCCTCATCTGTGAAATGGGCACGTCCGCCCCAATACCACCTTCCAGCTCTCTACACATTAGCAGGGGGCAGGGAGTGGGGAGGAGGGGGGATGCCGGTGCCGGGCACTCACTCTGGCCATACTGGCCGTACTGGTAGCCAGCCACGGGGTCCACGCTGTAGCCGGTGGTGCTGTAGGTGGGCGGGCAGTAGGACTGGGAAGTGGGCAGGCTGTCCCCTGGCTTGATGGAGTCCGCCCGCTGGCTGCAGCTGGCCGAGATGGAGGAGGCGGAGTCCAGGCCGCCATGCAGCGGGGAGATGGAGAAGTCGGCCTGCGGCTGTGGCGGCACGGCGCTGGGGTTGCTCAGGATGCTCATCACCTGTGGGGAGAGACCATTGTGGGGCTGAGCAGCAGGGGCGGCCTCCGCTGCAATCTCGCTCTCGGGGTCCCTGCAGCTGGGAGATCCGTTGACCTGCGGGCTTGTCCTTGTGGGTAAGATGGTTAGCGGTTAGGTCCCGACCCACGGAGGCTCCTCCACTGAGAGCTCTGGGGATGAGGCGGGGCCTGTTCACGGCTTTAGCTCAGGCCTGACTAAGTGAATGCACAGCGCATGAATGAATGAATGAATGAATGAACGAACAAACAAACACGCTAATTATGTCTCTCCTGTCAGACTGGAGCTCCCTTACCACAGGGACCTGTGCCTCCCCCATCCGACTGGGATGCTCCCATCTCTCAACACAAAGGGGTTTTAGCAGGTCTGTGAGAAGGGTTTCTGGGCCTGTCCGGCTTCACCACTCATCCTGTGCCATGCTCTTGACTTTGGTCAGGACCTGGTGGTCTTTAGGAATGTATTCCACAATAGCCCGCCCGGAATCTCTCTTCAATTCTGGCAGCTCCGGGATATCTGTGGCCATCATCCACTTCCTCGGGAGCCGGTTCAGCAAACAGATTCTGCCAACTCGGACGGTCAGGGGCAGGCTCCTTCCTAGAAACTCCGCTCCAAACCATGGTGTTAACGCATTGGTGTGCTCACTTATTCATTCAACAAACATACACAAGGTGACTATGACACCAGAACTGAGGCTGAGCCCGGTACCTCAGAGGAGCAGGAGCCATGGCTAAGGCCCTCAGCTGGGGCAGTGTTTGGGTCTGGGGGAGGGGGCACCTAGAAACAGATCATCAAGCTGTGGAGTGATGAGGGTTGTTACAGAGGCAGCTCGGGGCTGTGAGAGCCCAGGGGAGGGCACCCAGCCGGCCAAGTGGCCCAGGAAAGCTTCTGGAGGAGGTGACACCTGTGGCCAGGTGTCCAGGAGAGTGGGGAGAGGTGGTGCAGGCAGTAGGATTCCTGCAAGTGGAAGAGATCACAGCTCCCTAGTCAGCCCAGGGGAGGCGGCGGAGAGGCAGACCTTTGTGGATCTGACCTCAGGGCTAGGACCTGGTAACCTCCTGCTAATGCCACCCCTACGGGAGGGAGGCCACAGTGCCAGGTGGGGTCAGGCTTGTTGATGGTTTGCCCAACACCAAGCTAAAGAACCATGCTGCCATCCACACTGGGCACGTGGCCGTGTTCTCTGATTTCCCCACCCAGGAGATGGTGGGCTCTGGGCATTCAAGCAAGGACCTGAAAATGTCTGCCTTCTCACTTTAAAAAAAAATCTATTTTATTGATTTCTTAGAGAGAGGAAGGGAGAGGGAGAGTTAGAAACATCAATGAGGGAGAAACATCGACCAGCTGCCTCCTGCACACCTCCTACTGGGGATGTGCCTGCAACCAAGGTACATGCCCTTGACCGGAATCGAACCTGGGACCGCTCAGTCTGCAGGCCGACGCTCTATCCACTGAGCCAAACTGGTCAGGGCTGCCTTCTCACTTTTGACTTGTCCCTGCCATAGGCACCGGGGCCTGGCCAGGATCTGAGCCCTCAGGCCAGAGCCAGGCACGGAGCTCCTCCACTTTCTAGCTGTGCGGCCTCTGTGTGTCCCTTACCTTCTGTGACCAGTTCATCCTGAGGAAAAGGGTTGACGATGAACCTGACTCAGAGGCGCTGGAGGCTGAGCTGAGCCCAGCCTGGGGAGCTTTGCACACAGCCTGGCGAGCACAGGTGCTGAGGAGTCAGGGGCCCCCATTCCTCGATCCTCCGCTTCTCACCTCCTCCATGTCCCTCCTCTCAGCCAACTTATGGGACTCCCCCGATCCAGAGGCCTACAGAGACGTGTGGGACAGAGCTACGGCGCCCATTTCTCAGATGACAAAACTGAGGCCCACGAGGGGCTGATAATGATCCTGCCTGCTCGCCTGATAATGCTGAGACTCTCAAGGGTGTTTCAGGCCCCTGACCCCTTTAGAGGGTCTTACTCCGGGGACCAGCCAGTGTGTTTCCTGGGCCGCTACCGGAGGGGGTGGGGGTCCCTCATCCCTGACTCTTCCCTCAGTGCTCCCATCTCCCCTCCGTCAGCTCTGGGGGCATCTCTCCTCTGTCCTTCACCTCCCCCCACCCCTTCCCGGAGCCAGAGGCCAGGGCATGGGCCTGCTGGAGCTGGCCTGTCTCCATCGCAGCTGGTGGGACGTAGGTGGGTCTTAATGGTGTGTCACCCACCGAGATGGCAAAGACACATGGGTCTGTGAGAGGGGAAGTCTGGGAGGGCGGCGTCGGGGTGACTTTGTGCAGCGGCACTGTTTTAGGGAGTGAGGTCTCCCCGATTCTCTCTGCACTGAAGGCGCTTCTAAGGCCTCTGTCATGGGGTCGGGGGCACACAGGGTGCTGGTGGTGGCTAGAGGGATTCTGGAAAAGGGGATCTCCGTAGTGAGGTGGTGTGAGGACGTCTGAGCCCATCAGGCTGTGCTTGCTGCCTTCTGACTGTGAGCTGGGGCCTCCTGGACCTGAGCTATTTGTGTGAATGGGGGTAGGGGGGCTTCTGGGAAAACTCAGGAACCTCATGATGCCCTGGGAGTTAGGGGATCCCATTCTCTTCCAGGTTCCTGTCTAAACCCACTTTCCAGCTAAATTAAGAAAATCACCACCATCCTATTTCCCACCCCATCAAACACTACCCCTGCCCCTTCCTCAGGGGAGGCCTGGGCCCCAGAACAGACTCAGGCTCAGGGGAAGCACACGCCCATTGCCCCACCCACCTCCATTCTCAGAAGTGGGAGCCTCTCGGGAGGCTGTCAGCTCAGGTGAGCTAATCCCTTCCTCCGGAATATCACTACGGCAGGGAAGAGACCCGGGATGGGGGAGAAGAGAGAGGATGAGGGTGTTCTGGGGACGAGATATAGGAACGGTATACAGACCCACTCACACTGCAAAACAGGGACCTCCCGGGAGCCGCCTCAAAGCTGACCACGTCGCTCCTGTCACTCCAGCATCATCGGCGGCTTCTCAGTGCTTCCAGGTAAACGGGGCAAAGGTTTCCTGGGATCTGGCCGCCACCTGCCTGTCCCAGCTCCTCACTGCCATTTCCACCTTGCACTTGAGATCCCAGCCACCCCACGCGGCCGTGTTTCCTAAAGACATCCCTTACTCCTTCCACAAGCACTTCATAGCGGGCTGCCGCCTGCCGGGCCCGAGACTGGACCAGACTGGGCCTCCCTGAGGACCGGGGGAAGCCGCATTCCGACCTTGTTTGCGGACCCAGTGCCTACGTTGTGTCGGTGACATAGGATGAGCTCAGAAGAAGCCTGTGGAATGCATGCAGTTCCCATCACACATGCTTAGTGAACACCTACGATGTGCCAGGCCAAGATGCAGCAGTGAGATTTACAACTCCGTGACTCCTGGAGTTGCCAGTTTAGCGAAGAGGCTGACAAGGAACAAGTCAGTCATATAATTCGCAATACTGATAAGTGTTATGGAGGAAATGGAAAAGGGGGGGGAGCATATGTGGAGCATTCAGGCAAGATGGTCCCCAAAAAGGCGCTATTGAGGCCAAAAAGAACCGGTGTGAGAAGATATAGCAGGCAGCTTTCCAGGCAGCCACATCAGCAAGTGCAAAGGCCCTGGGGCGGGCACATGCCCAGCGGGTTTAAAGAATAACAGGAAGGCCAGTGTTGTGAGAGAAAACCCCGAGCCCCTGAGCACTGCAGGGCCTCCCAGAACCCTCAGTCAGAGGGACTTGTGCTTCCTGAGCCCCGGACCCGGGCCATGAACAGACAGCTCAGGGAGCTGTTACGGTAATGAGATTTGTTCAATGGGATTTGCCCTGGAACATCACATCAAATTCATGTCTGGGGTAGGTGTGAACGGGGGCGGGCTGCATCTGCTGGCTCTCTCCAGAGTCCCTGGAGGCCAGGAGATCAAAGGGTTTGCTTGCCCCTCTTCCAGCCTCCTCTGGGGCATGGCAGCTTCCGAGCAAGCAGGACAGCACCCAGCTGAAGAGAGGGGGAGCTGGGAGCAGTGACTCCTCACAGAAATAGACAACCATCGCCCCCATTCTGCAGATGGTGAGGGGGAGAGGTGCACCCATGATACCACAACCAGCAAGTGGCAGAGTCGGGATTTGAACCCGGGTCTCCCTGACCTCTAGGCTGTGCCTTCCAGACAGCAGGCAGTGCAGGAGAGAATGGAGCGCAGCCCTAGGCAGCCCACAGCACAGCCCTGCAGGCCCAGGTGGCCATCTGGCCTCTGGCCGGCCCAGGGACTGCTCGGAGTCTCTCTTTGCCCACCACCAGGGGCCCAGCCGAGGTCTGGAGCCTGCAAACTTTTGAACTTGAGGAAGTCCGGGTCTGATGCGGTAATCTACCCCCTCAAGAATGTCAGGGCCTCTCCCTGGTGGGTTTTACTTTTTCCCGGTGACCTTGCTTTCGCTAATGTATTACTTCTTGGTACGTTACCGTTACTAACTCAAAATCAATACCGACCTCCACATCTGTAAGGCTTTATCTGAAGGCAAATCTCCCGGCTGTCCGTCAGGCTGAGTGACAGCCGTCCCTTCCTCTCCCCCCACCAGCCAGGGCCCCCCCACCCGCCCCCAGCCCCTTCCTCTCCCTCTGCTCTAAATCAGTCCCAGCCTCCACTAGACTAAATCAATAAGGGGCCGGCCTCACCCCCCTTCCGCCGCTGGCTTGCAGGTTTGGGGAGGTGGGGGCTGAGGGAGCCCCGTGCCAGCCCCCCCCCCTCCACATCCTCCGCTTGCCGCCCCCTCCCCGGGGACTCACTGGCGCTCCCCTACTTTAAAAGAAGGGGATGGGAAAAATGTAATTAATTCCCTCCGTTCCTGAGCTGGCCCGGAGGGCCTGGGACCGAGGAGGCTGAGCTGTGAGATCTGCACCCTCTGTGATAACCGAACGCGGCTCTGGGAGCAAGGCTGCAATTAGAAGGGGTGATCGCCATCACCGGGGCTCTGTGGCCGGGTCGGGTGGATGAGTGGGGGCCTCAG